AGAAAGCTCTACCAAGCCTAGAATTCAGATGGCCTCAGGAGCTTAGATGTCTCTGCTGCAAAATCCTCAGCCGAGGTATTCAGCAGTCTTCGATTCAAGGTCTGTACCAGCCCAGCAGTATGACCTCAACTCATTTTACAGTGAAAATTGTTGTGACAAAGCATGTGGAATAAGGTCGTAAAAGAAGTAAGAGCACACATGGAAGCTGAATTGTTGAGATGGTAGTAAGTTAGCAGCTCAAGAAATTTAGAAGAAAATTACTCACATAAAAAGGTTATAACTATGAAAAAAGCAAGACACGAACATCTAAGATGAGCCATTCGAAGGAAGGCAGGCCAGCCCTTCCCCACCTGACTGCCTGGCCAGCCTGGACTCGGTAGGTGTCTGATAGAGAATGAGTATAGTAATGCTTTGTCAAGGAGGTCATGCACGAGTCCTCACTATCTACTGAGTACCTTAAGTAAGAAATAATTGCTTTTTGCTTTTACTTTGCATACATCTTGCTTGCAGAGTCTCTCTGCATATGGTTAAGGCTGACCTTCCTCATGATCTAGCAAGGGAGAGTTAACAGCTGTCAATCTCACAGACAATCTGTGATCGACCAGACCCAAGTGCTGTTTGGCAACAAGCATTGAAGTATTTGAATATGCAGTGGCAATACTGTTATAAAAAGCAAACTAGCATTAGTGCTTTGGAAACCAGTTTTGGAATAGGAAGGCAGAAATACTGCACCAGCTGATACATGGAATATTAACAAACACATCTGTTCCAAGATAAAGAGAAATGTGAATTCTGCAGAAACAACCATCTTAGGCCCACAGCTTGCTGGAGGAAGAGTTGCCCATGCCTTTGCTCACCAAACACACACTTAACTGCAGTTACTGTGACACACACATTTTTAATCAACAACCTATGCCACGCACATGCTATCTCCAGTGTTACAAAAGAGAAAGTCACTAAGGTAAAAGAAAAAATACTCCTCATGCATATTTCACATACATACATGTGTAAAACACATACATTTTATAGGTTTCAGCACCTAGAACTGCTTCTCAAACATCTGTGAGACATCCTAAAGTAATGATAATGTAACTGGATGAACAAAGTGTCCGAAATTAAGAAGTTCCAGACAGGCAAGGGTTTGAAAAAGAGGGACAGAGAAGGAATCAGTTTTCTGTGTTCTCCAACTGACCATACCTACATAATCTCAATTCCTTATCACAACAGAAATCTCCTGTCACAAACTGCTTGCTTCACTATTCTTATTTTGGTCTCATGTTCACACAACCCAGACACCACAGTTTAAGGTCACGATCTTCAGACAGGGAAGGTCTAATCACCTATATAACCTTTCATGCAACCTCCTTCCTTCAAAAAGCCAGATGTAAAGCTTTTTTAAAGAGCAGTCGAGTCCCAGTGCAACAACACCACAGTAAACCACAAGATCCCTTTTATGACCCCAATACTTCAAACTGAGCAAGGTGAGCACAAAAAACAATCAATTAACTGATGATAATTAGCCCCATAATAAAAGGAGAACACTCTTACGAACTTGCATCACAGGTATCATAATGACAATTTTCCATGGGAGCTGCCCATACCTTCTGCAGATGAAAAAAACCAGCAATACCTTTAGTAGTTAGATTTATTAGCAAGTGTATTAGAATTATTGCTGAGATGTAGCTTAAGTCGTATTTTTGCAAAGAAAGCCTGTTAGGAATTTTACAGCCCATATCAAAATGGACAGAACTGAAAGAAAGCTGAGCAAAGGGCCACACTGAACATTTGCTACTATGGTATTATAGGTTCGCTCACAATCACAAGATACACTGCCAGTGTTTCCGCTCTCTCATTACTGCTTTTTTTTCAATGATATCACTGAAAAACTGTAAGAGGCATTCTGCTCACTATGCTAAAAGATCCAGGAGAACATCCATACACAATGCTAAGAGTTCCAGGAGAACATCCATACACAAACACTGGTCTACTGGGTACTACTGCACTATTTCAAGACAGAACACACAAAAAACCACAAAAGGGATCTTGTGCCAAAGCTTGCTTTTTTAAAACCATAAAAAAATCATCTAGACAGCACTGGACCAAAGCTCTACGTACCTTCTGAGCAACCTTTGGGCTAGCGTCCCAAGACTGAAGAGGGTTTTTCAATTCTGAACTTCTCCCAATAACAGTGGGACATTTTTCCAAAATCAGAGATTCTTTCTCACGAAAACTATCCTCCCGGACTCTGTTACACTGCTGGTCTGAATCACTGCAGAATTCTCTCAGTCTGTCTAGAGTTTGCAAACATATACGGGGCTTCTCACACTCCTGAGGTTTTTCTTCAGTAAAAATACACAACAAAAACATATTAGCAACTTATTTTCTAAAACAAAACGTCTATTAGAATGACATCAGGGAGAATGCAATCATTTTGCTCTGCCTCTCTCTTCCCTACATTCCTTCTCTCCCACTGCAGTCTTTCTGCCAGCCTGACAGAACTGTGCATGTAGTCAGCTTGGTTAACTTCCCTGGAAAATCAATACTCCTCACTTGTATGCTTCTTCATACATGGGGAAAGAAGCACAATTATTTTCTGGACTGATAACTGCAAAGCCACAAAATTAGCCAAGCATATTGGAGGACAGGTGGTATTTTTTCAGTAGTTTTTAAAAGCAGACAGTATTGCTAGTTGATGATGTCTTAATGATATTTCAAACCATCACACCCACAAAACCAAATATAATTCCCTCTTTAAAAAAATTATAGAGGCTAATTCTTTTAAACTAAGTTTAAGTGTAACAAACTTTGTATTCACTGATTTTTCTACTAGCATCACTAATTTGCTAAATTCTTGGTTCAAAGCCAGAAGGAGCACAGGCGTTTTCAATGTAATTAAGTGGCTTTTCCCAGTTAAGAGCACTGCACTAGAACTATGTAGCCTTTAGGTATCCCAGTCACAGGCCAGACTCCACAGAGCTGTCAGGTGTCAGTCATGCTTCAGCCTTAGTCTAAAAGATAGACTGTTAAACCAACACAGAAAGGGATGTTGCAGCATTTCTTCCTGGGCACCTGGACTTCACTGACTGAACCACCCGTTAAAGCTGAGTCAGCTGAAAGGGATTTGCAGAGTAATTCTGGAGCAAGGCTCAAATGCCTAGCTTCTAAGCCACAGAAAGGTGCTTTAACAGTATAGCTAGTGTGCTCATAATGGCTCTTCAGAGATATATCTTACACTCAAGCGACACTTCCTAAAGTATCTGCTGACTAATACTTTTACAATGGACAATGAAAAACTATTTATTTAGTATAAATGCTTGAAAGTTTTACAGTCAACTCACTTTTATCCTGAGTCTTCAGTGGGTTACAGATGTCTTCTAGAGTAATTTGTCGTGCCTTGGCCTTCTTTTCACAGGGTTCATCATTGCTTTCGGTTGATGTTCTCCTTTTTGTGCCAAAGTCAGAAGCCTGAAACATAAATTACACAAAGAAGTTCAGTTACTTTTTCTCTTTGCCATCCTCTATGAAAGAAAATAATGCACTCAAGAATTTCATAAAGATAACGCAAAATTAAGTCAGGGATTTCATGTATTGTAAATATATTACCTATCTGTATTTTTTGTTTATTAAATAGTTCTTGTAACAATCAAGGCTACAGGAAAAGGAATAGTGTGTTCTGTGAACAAGTTGGCTGTTGTGCTAGAACAGAAACACCTGCAGCTACCATGGCTTCAAAACACAGCTTGGAGCTACCTCTGTGGCAGACAACTGAACCAGCGTTTAACAGACTTTCCCATCATACCACACGCTACCACCCTGTGTCTGAACCAGACCTCTTCTGCAAATCCTCATTCCCACAGTTCAGAGCCCTCTTCTTGCCAGATACTGGCTATTTGCCTCTGAGAGGCACAACTTCCTATGGCCTACATCCCAGTGATGGAAGAGTATCTTCTCCACACCACCCTGGACGTGTTCATCCAGACTTAAAAGATTTTCCTAAACTATCTGTAAACACCTAGCTATCATCATCCTGGGTTTGTACAGAATATAGTACTTTCAACGACTGCTCCTTAGATGGTTTTTAGCGCACACACACTTCTAACACTTCATAACAAACTGATGAATTTTCTGTTTGTTTCATTATTGAGGTATTCTGTTTGACAGAATACAAGAAGTATGACCCAATATAAAGAAGTAAATTGCAACTGCAACAACGTATAAACACACTACTGTTTCACTTTGCAGATTAACACACAACAGGTGCTTTTAGCAGCTTGCATCCACATTTCATATGGTAATCTCAGATGGTTTAAGTGTATTACTGGGGAAATTCAATCTTCTTGTAACTAAGCAAGAACTCCACCCCCAGCAACTAAACACAGAACCTCCATATAACATATCCAAATGCACAGCTCACGAATGGCAGAGTTTCTCTTCCCAGCCCGCTATTTTATACCACCAGATTAACGCTAATCAGGAGGCAGTATTTCTGCTTGGACAGAAAGCAGTGATCACACCTTTCAAAATATATTTGGACCAAAGATAACAAAAAAAGGTTGATCTGAGACACAGGTGAAAAAAACATACACTTTTCCAGGGCCAGAAAGGGCTAGAAACATTAACGCCAGGGAGACCGGAAAATGTAAACTCTGAACGAACTGAGAGACCGCAATTTTTTTCCCCAGCTGTGTCACGGGAGGGGCTGCTGGCTCTCTTCGCCCTGCACTTAACAGCAGACTAAGAGTCGTCCAAGCTCCACGATCTGGGCCACGAGCTCAACCCACTGCCTGCCAGGAAGCATAACCTGTGCCAGCAGGTCCACCACTACCACAAGGGAGCGAAGCCCCTGCGACACAGACCGGCACACCAGCTTTGCCAAGCCACCGTACCCACGTTGAGCCTCAGTTCCTACAAAACGGGCACATCCTGGCTGTTTCCTGCAAGACCAGGTATGGCAACCCGGGGTTACACAAGGCAAAGGTGCTGCAGCAGGCACTGGGAAGGGGGGGGCCCTGCCCTGTCCTACCCAGGACACCTCTTCGTGCAGCAGGGCCGTGGCCAGCTCTGGCCTTCCTTT